TGATGACTCAGTCGTTAGTGATCAGATTAGAATAAGTTTATTCGATTAGACGAATAGGTTCTTATCAACATGAAGTTGCAGTTTCATGCAAATGAGTCAAATATCAACGTTTAACGAAGTACATCAAGAATAAAGTGCTTTTCGCTCTGAACGTAGTGACGGGAGGGTGGTTTCTACATGCATCCGTTTTCGCTCTTCGAAACCAGAGAATGTTACGGAGATGAAGGGCGGAACTTATCTGCGGTACAGTTCTATAGTACATATATAGATGGCACATACTAGGCTTCTGGTCCCATGACGGAGTGAAACCGCCTTCAGGAACTGTCTATGCAGTGATGATTGACGTCATTCAACAGCTTCCGCCCTATCCGCATAGTTTCTTCAATAACTGTACTTAAAGTTTTAAAGCAATAATGAAATAACCTTTTATGTTAGTACTTTGGATTTATTGCCTTTCATGACGGAACGAATCTCTAACTCTGAAATTTCACTTAATGCTTATGCTACACGTAGTGCTAGTCGATGTTAAAATTTACCTCATGCACTTATGACTGTCACAGCAACGGTGAGATCATGGAGTTAATACTATGGCCTCTGTTTTATGTTTTCAGGGTCACTGATGACTATAGAACGTACTGTCCATAGATGGTTTTTCAGGAAAGAATTTTGAAACTAGTTTCCTTGCAATTTGTGTTATTAAATTGAAACAAAGATTCACCCATTGAGTTTTGAAGTTCAATCTAGAACGATGCACTAGAGCACAACTTGGCATCATCCTTTACCAGACTATCTTCTTCTAGGAAACTTTTGCAATATAGCGGAAAGAGGCAAATTGTGAGACAAAATCAAACAGTTTCTTGATGGCACTACTTGTGATGCGGAAGCCAGTGTCTTGCACACTCCTGGTTTTGCTTTTGTGTTTCCAAGAGAGCATATTGTGCCCAGTTTGACCATAGGCTGACGTCACACAAAAACGAATATTTTGTTCAAATCATCCGGATGCAACATCAACAGGTAAGTCACAAAATACTCAAGCAGGCTTCGGTTGGAGCACACGTCAGTAAGAGGAGGGGCGACTGTCAAATTCGCATCGTCGATCTCGTTTGACGGTTTGTGAAGCGACACAAAATTACCTCTGCAGTAATTAGTTGGGGCGGCAGTCATTTTTCAGACACATGTTATATATTTTTGTCCATCTTAAAAAACAGGAAAAGAAACTTTCTGAATGCGTAAATGGGTTTTAATACACTTTATGCAGAAGTTGATTGATGGCTGCTGAGATTCCATGAGACGCAAGTGCTGCCAAAAGTTTTCAGTCTGATTACTGGGTCCGTCAACGTTACATCAGTCAAACATGGCAGCACATGGTCACAGACAATTGG